AATATAAATCATTTAAGTCTCTCTCAATAATTTATTATAATTAAATCTTCCATTGCTCTAAATATAGTCTAAACTAGAATAAATGTGTACTATATTATATATAATCCCAACATGATCATTTATTCATTTTGTTAGAATTTAATGAAGTTTATTAGAAGGTATCATTAATTATTCTTCCTTTATCTTTTGTTTCTACGTTGATTATATTCAAAATTTAGTTGTGGAAAAAAAATGACCATCAATATTTTTATTCTTTTATAATCTAAAGATTTAGAAAGAATCTTTAGAATCAACTTACTAATGTGAGAATAAGTAAACTCATAAATAATAATATATAATTTTCTTCAATCCTAAAAATTATTTATGTTTGATCAACTGAACATACATGTTTTAATGTACATGTACGTATTTGTTTCTAGGTTGCTGTACTCTCTAATATGATTGGCTATAATCTTATTATATATAACTAAAATAGGTTCATCTTTTCCTATACATATGAATTGCATGATTTATTCTATATATTGTTGTTTGATCATTAGTTTTTATATGCTTTTGTTGTTTCACTATATTAGATTATTATCTTTTTCGATGTGGCAAGGTCTGGATTGCACTGGTACCACCTCACGAAGTGGAAGAGTTGAGTCCTACTGCATGATTCAACCCAAGCGCAAATGAATCTAGTAGATTTTCTCTTGATTTGAATGAACTCCCTCAAGATTTTGTCGTCAACAAGGATGTGATTACCACACCTCCACCGAGCCTTGTAGACAATGATATGGCGCAAAACCTAGTGGAAGTGGCTGCTTTTATGATGAAGATGAACGACAGCCTAACGAATTCAAATTCTTTTGAAGGGCAAAGCCAATATCTTTACTTTGTTTAATGAATATATGGGATCCGAATCTCAATTTCTGAGCCAAAGGCATCTGATTTTGGTCTCAATTTCTGTGTCATGTTCTTTAATATTGAAAGTGTAGAAGCTGAATGATATTTTCGTTTCAGGAATATAGTGGTAAGATATGGTCGCTTGGATTCATGCAACATTTTTTGGTAACAACAAAACTATAATCCAGAGAATTAGCAAAGATATTGTTTATTTGTATTTTGCTATTGTTTGCAAAAACTATCTCATCAGCTCATTCAAATTATTGCTTCAAACCTTTATTCATACTTTGGATAATCCAAAACCCAATAAATTGTTTTGAAAAGAAGTTATCACAATTTTACGAGTGAAATTGAAAAACTTAATTTTATTTGTTCAGTATGACTTTTTGGTGTAAACCAGTTAAGAACTGCAACCAATATATGCTTTCAGTTTTGATCTTTGCTAATATATTTGTACTTAGATATAGAAAATCATGATGCATAACTAACTGACACACCTTGGTTAAGAGTTTTGGTTCAGAAAAAATTCTTGTAGTGACTTTGCATATTGTGACACCCCTAAGAAGATGAATGTGTTAAGACATGAAAACAAAGGGGAACATGCATCAATAGTGATACTAGAGCACAGGCAAGCGAAATAGTTTGCTCTTATTCTTACGAGTTTTTCTATAGAAACTAGAACATTTCCACTTATGATAACATCTTTTATGCACATCTATACTTGTCAAATGTTTGGTTTTGACCTTATTTGTGGCGATTTGATGTTACATTACATCCTTGGAGAGTCTGACTATGATCTTTTGTAGCTCCTTTACTTCCTCTCCATGCTTCTCGAGCTGCGCTTTTTGGAAGTCCACCGTACAAAGAGCCGCGTCTCTTTCGTTCAGGTACCTATTTGCCAACTCAGAAGACAGGTTTCTCTCTATTTTGGCAGCTTCCAGGCTTCGCTTGAGCATTGCATTCTCTTCCTTCAGAGCAACATCTCCCTTTGCGGCCCCTAGTTGAACCTTCTCCAGGGACATTCACATGGAAAGAAGAGCCTACGAACAAAGAAAGATAAAGTTAGCTAATCAAGAGAAGCTAAGGGTAGTCCTCGCCGAGGACAGATCGTTCACCTTGCTTAAGTGTTGGACCGATTGGACATTAGGTCCATGTCGCTAGAACCAGCGAACTGCTCGAATGATTCTGAGAGTCCACATTCCAATAAGGCGTAGACCACCAGCTGCAGGTACTCCGGCAGGTTCCCCAGCGAGTCCAACACTGAAGTGTCCTTCTTCGCGGCTTTAGCAGTGGTCGTGTCGTCCATCGGTTCCTTACCCGACCTCCTCACGTCCGACCGCGACCTCTTTGATTGATCGCCCTCAGATTCGGTCTCTGACTCTTCGACCTGAATCTGTCTCCTCTTCTTTCGCTGGGTCGTTGTCTTCAACATCGGGCGAGCAGGCGATGGCTGGGATGTTGGAGTAGGTGCCCTAGAGCCAATCAATTATTGTGGAATTGACTCTTTGTACGAATGTTCATTAATCAATGAAAGACATTTTATTCTATATCGCGTAAATCATTATTATTGCAATATGGATTGATATATGTCCTTAGAATGGTAGAACCGTGACGAGGGTATCAAATGTTTCAAATCTTGATAGTGAGAACTCTATGAGCACATATGGTGGCCATTCTAGAAACGTTCGTAGCCCCAGTATTATTCTGAAGTAAGGGCACAGATAATACGGTAAGGTTATCATAATGTTGAACGACCCTGTCGAAAGGCAGTGACTGATCTCACTTGTCAAGGTTGTTTGGTGACAACCTAGTACAACACATGGGTGCTTGCTGTAGGTGATTACACCTCAGCAAGTTCACTGGACTGACTCACCAGAGGATTCCATGTGGATGGTAACCCTAGTATCTATGGAACAAATCCTCTAACGAATGGTGGTGCATGTGATCCTTAGACTTGAGATCACCGGAGCGCCTTGTGCACCGATTGGTGTAGTTTGACACTAGCCTAACGCAGTTCTTTTCAGAGCTGTCAATACGGTGGTGATTGGCTGCATCAAGGAGTGTATCAAGACTATGGTGGATTGACAGAGGATTCATCACTCCCGGGTACGGGAGAAAGTTATCTCACGGCGCAATTCAGTATATGGCAATGACACTAAAACTGTGGCCACAGTGGGATTGAGTTGTTGCTCTATCCAGTTTATAATACGGGTCATTGGTCCAGAAACTGAATAAATAATATCGAGAGTAACCGAAGGTTGACACTATTTCTATGCCTTCGTCTCGTCGAGATAACGTATGATGAAAGGATCGAATTGCACGGTAACCATATCGTTGACAGGTAGCTACTTTGCTGAATCCGAATCTATCGGGTGGCCATGATGCCTTGCTAGGGGCCAATCTTGGTCTGTGTATTAGTGAGACGATTAATTGGTGTTAATCGCAATACTATACACTGCCGATATGATGAGGAGCCTATGGGTCACACACATAGAAGACAATTTAAGATGCAAGAAGAAAGAAGGGCGTTTTCGTCTTTTAAGGCGAAAGGGTATTTTGGTAATTTCACAGTGCAATTAAATTTGCTGAGGTCGTAGCCTTTATTTAATTTGTTGGAAAAATTAAATAAGTGAAATTACGTTTAAATGTGTGTTCGCACATATTTAAATATATTATCATTATTGTTAAATGTTAATATATATTTAAATATATATATTAATTGATTTTAATTGAGATAATGATGGAAAATAAAATAAATCAAATTGGGAGTGTTTGGCAATATGGGGCGTTTGGGTTGAAGCCCAAGCCTATTCCGTATGGGATTAGGGCAATTGTAAAATTATACCCTTGATCTTGGCTCATGTAAAAGATCCCTAAGTTATATTATTTTTGTTTCCGCTGCGTAGACGGGACCGTTTACTAACATGGGAGACCTTCGTGGTTCGTATTGGTACGTCCTCTAACGATTGTGCCTGAGAAGTTCCGGAAGGTCGCGTCGGTGGGCCCGATGTTGTGCCTTCAGCCGGGGGAACGGTCGAAGCAGCATCGGTCGCTTTGGCTTTTCTTGTCCAAGGGAAATTAAGCAGCCTTCGTCGCGGCTGCTTTGACTCCATCAGAGGCATGGTCGCTGTATGCAAAACATCATTAGCAAAGATATCTCATTTCATAACCAGAAAAGGGCCAGTTAGCAAGATTTACTCAGTGGGGGCTCTAACGACGCGTTTGCATTAAAGAAACCGTATTTCTGCAAATTCGCGATCGTCACGAGTTTCTTCGCATCGTGCTTGTCCTCAGGTAGGGAGCCGAAATGCACGATCCTTCTTCTATCAAAAAGCAGCCCTAAGTCGGTCGTCTTGTTAACTGTCAGAAAGGAATCAGGTTGTTAGAAAGAGCACATTTCGAGTGCAATGAATTTGTCAAAAAAAAAAAAAAAAAGCCTACTTGGTTCCTGGAAACGGCAATGGCCATCATAATGAAAGAAGAAAAACTTCGTTTCATAGGCCCCCGCGTTACTCAGGTAACTGTGTATCCTCTCGGCGATAGTAGGTCGCCTGGACAAGTAGTAAGAGTCCTTGTCCTTGCTTTTTTTCAAAAAATACGAGCAGCCAACTTCCGTCGCGGTTAGCTCGCCCAGCCTGTTCTTGTGGCATGCAATGTACATTGCAACGGCAATGACGTACGCGTTCGGAGTCAACTGCATCGGCGCGACCCCGAAATGGTCCAAAAGCGACCTGATGAAAGGGTGGAAAGGGATCAGTCCCCCACCCTTGATGATCTCCTCGGAGATCGCGGCCAGACCACTTAGCGGGTATCGCGATGAGTGTGCCACGTCGAGGAAAGCGTCCACCTCGATACCGTACTGTTTTATTACCCTCTCGAGCTCATCCCCGGTAAGTACCGAGAAGACCTCGATAGGGATACTTGGAGCACCCTGTGGGGACGAACCGGTTTCCTGTTCGGATCTGGTTGTACAGGGGTCCATTTTGCTGGCCTGCAAAAGCGACAAGCAGAAAGGTCATTTAGCTGCCGTACGCTATTTTGTACGATGATGTGGGAGGAAACAAACTCTCTAAATCCCAAAGAAAACCCTAACGGCATGATTCAAGCCGCCATTCATGGCTCGAACCCGACTTAAGCATCTCGTCTCCGATAGGCTACCAGAAGACAGACGCCATTCAACCATGGAAAATAATGAAACAAAAATAGAGAGAAGCTCTTACCTCTCAGAGTATGAGAACAGCTTCCGTTTCGAATACTGGAAAAATGCTGGTTTGAAAGGCAAAGGTTCCAGGTTTGCGAAAATCTTTTACTCTCTAAGAAACAGGCTTTGGTGACATTGCCTGAGAAAGACTCGAGGTTTTTATAGCATATGAATCGGCATTTGGATTTCTTCGAATTGAAACGGCGTTTGGGCAGCAAAGGTTTCTCACCGTTGATCACGGCCATGTGTCACGCATCAGCGAGGAAGAGTGAGCGTCACGACTGGATAAAGTCAAACCTTCATCTCTCCTGTTGACATGCTCAAACGACGGCCATCTCTCTTTCTCAAAGCATTAATTGCGTCTCAAATCTACATTTAATGCTCTAATAAGGGGCGTCGTTCTAACGTATAACGCATTTAATGTCCTGATAAGGCGTACTGTGTCAACGTACAACACATTTAATGCATCTGACTGGCACTTATCATGCACAGGGCACATTTGTCAGTGCAGGGACTGCTTCATTAAATACACCCATATCAAAAGAACAATAGGTGACGTTTGACGAAATCAGGTCGCTCGTCCTCTGCAAACAATAAACATGCGAGGTCGTTCTCAAAAAAGTGTCGTCCCGATCTACTTTCAGACAGGTCAGAATCACCAGAATTTCCAGGAATCACCAATTGCGGCATGACTTGTAGTTTCCAAGGTTCGATTCTCAAACCTTAAAAACTAGGGGACTTCTGTTATGCTTGGGAAAATAGGGCTTATGTGGCTCCCAGTTAAATGCGAAAGGTCAGACCTGGGGAAGAGTTTACTGACATTCTGGCGCAGCTGTGTCGTGTGATCATGGTGCACCCACAGCCTGCTTCCGTCAGAATAGTGGGTGCACGTCAGCCCAGCCAGGAGTTGTGATGATCCCGCGTGTCCAATCCCTACAGCAGATCACGTGAATTACTCTAAAAGAAGGATTTGCATGGATCATCCCACAAACTTACAGATTTAGTGATCATTGCCTCAAGGCATCCCACTATAAGTTGAGAGCTCCTCTCTCATTAAAGGGATTGGCACATTTACTCTTGACCAATCTCTCTCTCTCTCTCTAGAATAGACAGCATTTGATACCTTGTATTCTCAGTGTAAAGTCAGTCGTCTAAAACGACCTGACCCTTATCATTAATAAAAACATCAGTAGACGTAAGACCTGCTTCCATAGCATCCGAATCACTTTAAAACTCCTTTCTCACTGCATTTACTATCATTTTCCTTTTCATTCACGTGTGTCTTTTGGGCCAACTCAACATTTCACATGTGTGTTTCGTTGGTGTCAAAATCACACATCAACAGATTCAAATGTCGTTAGGTGAATACTTTCGCTTGATATTATATTCTCAATGAAATTCTACTCTTTTACACGCATATAAATTGTTATTGGCTTTTTTCTCTTTTTAATTTTTCAAGATAAATATATATATATATATATATATATATTTGATGAAGATATAACAAAATAGCTTATATAAAATTCTCAAAGTTTGATAACTAATGACTAACTAATCTTTTCATAACGGAATATGTAAATTCATCAGTAGACCGTCTTTATTTTTTAGCATCAATTTTTACTGTATTGAACTTTGAGATATGGAATACTTCAAACTATACATTGGAAGATATGCAATGAAATGCCATTTGATCTAGTGATGGCTCCAATCTCCATATACTGAGCTTAAGATTTAATTATTTAAAAAAATTAGATAGATAATAATAAAATTAAATGTAATTATTTACAATAAATTTGATAAATAGCAAAAATTATAGATTTAATTATTTGTAACAAATTCAATTGCAATCAATCCTATAAATTTTTCATTTTCTAGGATGGACGAGAGGGGGCTATTGGATTTAGACTTTTTCTTTATTTCCTTATTCATTAATTTATTCATGCTTATTCTTCTTTTTACCTTTTGTTTCAACGGTAGGCCTGAATCAAAACTTATAGAGAAGATTATTGAACATACTTTGAAGAGATTGAATGATATGTCGTCTATTTATAGTAAGAACTTGATTGGAATAGCAATGAAGATTCAAAAAATTAAATCTTTATTATCTAATGGGCCAAAAAAAGTATGCAAGGTAGGGATTTGGGGTATGGGTGGTATAGGCAAAACAACTCTTGCTGATGTAGTTTTCAACGACATCTCAAGTCAATTTGAAGCTTCTTATTTCACCAAAAATGTTAGAGAAGTATCGGAAAAAGGTGAACTAAGTCACTCGCAAAAAGAACCTTTTTCTACAATATTAGAGGATGAACACATCAATATAAGGCTCACATTCACAAAAGAAAGGCTTGGATGTAAGAGTGTGCTTATTGTCTTTGATGATGTAACAGATTTAAAACAAATAAAAGAATTAATTGGAGATCTTGAATACGTGAGTGTAGGAAGTCAAATCATTATAACAACAAGAGATAATCAAGTCCTTAAAAATTGTGGACTGGATGATTCTGCCATATATGAGGTCAAGGGATTATGTAGTTATGAATCTCTTCAACTTTTTAAACAACGTGCCTTCAAACAAAACCATCCAATTGATGCAGTTTATATGAAGCTATCAAATAGAGTGATAGATTATATAAAAGGTTTGCCTTTAGCTCTTGAAGTCTTAGGCTGCTTTCTACTTGGTAGAGACAAATTTGTTTGGGAAAGTGCACTGGATGAATTAAAAAAATCTCCAAATGATGTTATCCAAACAGTGCTTAAGATAAGTTATGATGGATTAGACTGTAGAGAGAAGGATTTATTTCTAGATATTACATACTTCTTTAAAGGATGGAATAAACATCTAGTTGGCAGGCTCAGTTCACATATTGGAATAAGTGTTCTCATTGATAAAGCTCTTATAACTATTTCATACAAGACCGTAACAATGCATGATTTGATTCAAGAAATGGGTTGGGAAATTGTTCGACAGGATCCAGTTAATAAATTTTGCCAACGTAGTCGATTTTGGCATTGTAATGACGTCTATCGTGTACTGAAAAGGAATCTTGTAAGTACAAAAGACATCAGCTTTCAATTTCTACCGTATAATATTTGTGAAATCTTGAAAAAAAAAAAAAAAAAAAATCTAGAAGATTATCATTTTAATTTTTTTTCCTTGTATTAGTGTATGTGGTATTATATGTAATTGGGCTGATTTATTGTTTGGTTTTGACTGTAGGGAACTGATACGATACGAGGCATATGTTTTGATATGTTCCAAATGAGAGAGATACACCTGGATCCGTATGCTTTCTCGAAGATGCGTAATCTAAGATTCTTGATTGTGAATAACTCAGATCAGATAGACTATAATAAGGTGCATGGTTTTGAAGGCATTGAATTTGATTTCACAGAGCTAATATGCCTCTATTGGAAAGGTTACCCCTGCACATTGTTGCCATTGAATTTTGATCCAGAGAATCTTGTTGAACTTAAGATGCACGGCAGCAATCTTAAACAACTATGGACCGGTATCAAGGTATATGTTATTGTTATGCAACGAAAACATAAACTCTAACGCTAGCTATTGAATATAATAATAACAAGTAGTAAAGCATAAATAAATAGTCAAAATTAAATGCAAAAATAAAGAATACCAGGAATTAACGAGGTTCGGTATTGAAACCTACGTCCTCGGGCACTGCAAAAGAAAAACTCCACTATCTCCAAAACATTACAAACTTTTAGACAATACAACAAATACCCAAAACAAAGAGGAGATACAAGAAAACTTTACAAACTAAAGGGTCCTTAAAGAAAGAATCCTAAACAAAAGAAGTATAATAGAATTACAACTTGGGATGGCTAATAACAATGATTTGGATCCTTATATGTAATCCCCAAAAGTTTCCCACTTTTCAATCCTAATCAATGTGGGACAAACTAACCTTTTTTGGCCTATTACATATAAGTCCCTAAACCTTTCTCCATTATCATTTCTACCCCATATGATTTTGCTAAAAGCCATTTTTCAACAGTTATTTCACACGAGAATTCTCTTTTATAAATTTTAAATATTGTATTTTGTTTTTCATTTGTGTTGTTAATTACTTTCTATTACAGGATCTTGCTAATTTAAAATACTTTGACTTGAGGTACTCAAAACATTTACTTAAAGTCCCTGACCTCTCACAGGCTCAAAATCTAGAGTGCTTAATTTTAGAAGGATGTACAAGTTTGTTTGAGATCACTCCTCCATCTCAGAATCTCAATAAACTTATTGTTTTGAATCTAAGATATTGCGAAAATCTCATCAGTCTTCCAATCGGTATTCAATCAAAGTCTTTAAGAGATGTTATTCTATCTGGTTGCTCTAATCTCAACACTGCTCCAAGGATCTCATGTAATATGAAACGATTGTGTTTGGATGGAACTGCAATAAAAGAATTATCATCTTCGATCAAAGTCCCTCGAGATAGTTCAATTGAATCTTCAGGGTTGTTCAGGGCTTGAAAGTCTTCCAAGCAGCTTTGTAATTTGAATTCCCTTAGACAACTTAATCTCTCTGGTTTGTCAAACCTAAAGTTTGTTTAGGGATCCACGCAATATAGAAGAGTATATTTAGATGGAACTGCGAATAAAGAGTTGTCTATCGATTGAGAATGCATCCAATCTAGTAAGATTGAGTCTAAAAATTGTTCAAGCCTTGAGAGTCTTCCAAACGGCCTTTGTAAATTGAATTCTCTGAAATATCTTTGTATCTGGTTGTTGAAGCTTAAGGATTGCTCAAAGACATAGGAAATTTAGAAAGTTTGGAAGTGCTAGATGCTCATGGAATTCTTTTAGGAGAACACAAATCACTCTGGGACAATTTGAAGAATCTTCATCATTTATCTGTTGAGGGATGTAAGCTGAAGCCTCCATTGCCTATTTTACCAGGTCTTCCATTTCTAAGGAGATTAAATATAAATCACTGCGATCTTACAGAGTTACCCAATAATCTTGGCGAGTTGTCCTTCCTCACAGATTTAAAATTGGACGGAAACAATTTTGAGAGTCTACCAACAAGCATCATTAACCTTTCTGCTTTAAAGCTACTTAGCATAAGTTTTTGTAATAGGCTTCAATCCTTACCAAAGCTTCCATGTAATCTGCAAGAAGTTGAGGCAGATGGTTGCAAATTGCTGAAAGTGTTATCTGGTTTGGAAACTCCGAGTGATAGTATAATATCTATCACTGATAGATATTACAACATGACGCTTAACTTCAGCAATTGCTTCAGTCTAGATTGGGATGCAGTTAGAACGATTTTGATTGATTCTCTCTTGGAATTTTCAAAGGTATGTTTCAGTCTATCTCATTCCCATATGATTCAATTTCTTCTTCTTTTATATAAATAAAATGCATTATATTAATTTAACAATTTTACAACAATTTTTAATGGTGTAGCGGAGTATTGTCAGAGCTTATTTAGTATTCCCTGGGAGTGAAATTCCAGAGTGGTTTGACATTCAAAGTAATGGATCTCACATAGAGTTACCACGTGGTTGGGTTAATGGTACATTTTTCGGTTTTGCCTTTTGTGCCATTGTCGGAATTCCCAAAAACCATTGCTGTTCATCGACTGTTGGGTATTTGTTGCGTTGGAAATTCCCAATGTATAGCCAGCCTCTTGATAGTGCCCTATTCACCACTGGACGTATTAAGTCAGATCACGTATTCGTGTGGTGTAGTTTCGGTACAGCAGCTGAGGCTTCCTTTTATGGAGATACGGAGGCCATCATCAATTTCTACAGTCCAAACGATCTAATAATAAAGAAGTGTGGGGTCCGTCTGTTTTATGCACACTCCCGAAAAGATTAAAACTCTCGCTACAGGTAATTAAAGAACATATATACCTTAATCTTTACGTCACATAATGAAGTAGTTCTATCTCTAGACTATTTTCATGCTTTATGACTAATTTTTGAATGATTTTCTTCTGGTTTCATATTTCATTTTATACATGTTCATATTATTTACATCTAATTTAAGATTTTCTTCTTCACCAACTTTGAAAATTATCAACTTAAACTAAGTTAGAAATTAGAGTCTTTGGTAAATTAGATTTTTAAATTGTTATGATATGAAAAATAACAAAAAAGGACCTATTTTTATCTATTCAGTATAATTATTAAATTATATTTTAAAACTTTTTAATAAATTTTTTAAAACAAATAAAATATTTTAATAAATTAATAATTTTTTTTAAAGAAAATTTAAAAGGAGACTGCAGGTACCAAAAGGGATATTATTTTATTTAATATAATAACGTTTTCAATTATTGATTTATTTAATCAATTAATATAAATTTATCTAGCGATTTATATCGTTATCTAAGGGTATTTTTGACATTATACATATATAAAAGGGATACTTCCAATTAAGGTATAAACTTTTCAAATTTTTATAATGAGATGACAAAAGTTATAAATTGTTCAATTAAGGGACAATCATTAGTTAATTAGAGTTAGATTTAACATTTAATAAATGTAAACATGTAATTGAACAATTTAGATTATTATTTTTTACAAAATAAATAATAAGAAATCCAAAAATTATCAAATTAAAAAAATAAAAATAAAAATAAATAAAAATAAAAATAAAAGCCTACTTTCTTTCATTTTTTTTAAATTTTCTTTTAGTCTATAAATTAAAAAAAAAAATTCAACTTCCATTAAAAAAAAAAAAAATGTAGCTGATGTCCTAAACCAATATCTGGAGCTTTTCAATGACCTTTCGATGGCTGAAGTCATGTGGAGTTAAAAGCTGCAAAGCTCTAGGGTTCTTGAGCTTTCTCAGGTTTGACTATCTGACAAACATTAGTTTAGAACCCAGTATCTTGTATTCTTAAATAAATGTAGCTGATTTCCTAAACCAATGTTTCATGGAACCGTATGGACTAACTTTGGTACCAGCTGGGGCAGAGTGAAGAGACCCTCTGCTTCTGGGAGATTTTCGAACCGCCTGCCAATGAAGATTCTCAAAGGTTTCATATCTTGACAGCCATCTATCTCAAAGGCCAACTAAAGATGGTGAGCAATGGAAAAAAACATTTTGTCTCAAGCTTTTTTTCTTCTCCATTTTTTGTTTATTGCATAAAAATCAACTCCTGTGCAGTTCTTTTTTCTTTTTGTTGTCTAGGCTAGTATATATGTTTTGTTATGACCATTAGGATACGTGAAAATAGAAAAAACCATCATAGGGAAGCAGTAATCAATAAGATAATTTATTATAATGCATTCATTTGTGCAAAAGATTTGCTTAACTTAGCTTTCAACTTTTGATTCATAATATATATAACTCCCATCAGCATTACCTTGTGAACCTTTTGGATGTACTTCCATTTTCTCGGATTGTAGTTTTATATGATTGGGACTCTAGTTATTCATAAGAAGTCAGCAATTTAATATTCCAACTTAAATAATATTATATATGCTTGCCAACATTAGGTATGGTGGACGTTTAATAGGAATTTCGGGCTATGAAAATCCGCCATTAGACAGAGAATCCAAGTCTACTATGCATTGTTATTGGTTGAGTATAAAATTACATTGGGCTAATGTGAGGATATGTTTATGGTTACCATTTGCAGTTTTCATTATAGCTCCTTTAATGGAGTTCTTGCTATCAGTATATCCTCAAATTGTTTCAAACTTATTGCCATCAAACTTCCATGACAAGATGAAACAAGAGGAATAGTTGGAATTACCATTGCTGCTTAAGCCGTATTCATCCTGAGTCTTCCTAGCAGTTGTAGCTCTTAAATGTTAATGATGTGTTTATGTTTGTCAGAGTCTTGTTTATTGACTGGTGTAGCTTGAATGTTGAGCACATTCAATAGGGGTAGAACTAGATTTACATTCATAGAAATGTTAGTATCATTTAAGTTTTTACTGAACTGCTAGCTATACAGGAGAATGTTGTTTCAATTATAATCTTAATTTGTAGGAGGCATTAAAAGAAGGCTAAATGCAAGAAAAAAAAAATGGCTAAGTATCTTCAAGATACTAATGTAGAAATGGCATAAGAAGTCGTAAACTCAAAAAATGGAGACGACAGAAGATCTGGATGAGTTTATGAAGAAGGTAATAGTCCTTTTTTTTTCCTTTGCCTAAAATGGGAAGTAGGCTTACTCTATGTTTTGACTATTTTCTGCTAGCTGACAATAATTTAATTGAGGTTTATTCTGCATTAGAACAGGTTAGGCCTGATGCCGATCTATTGAGCGATGAAATTTAAGACTATGCCACTTTGGGAAGATGTTCATTGATGATTATCTTTCGGAGATCATTAGCAGGTTGATTTTGTAAAAGCATTCCTCAATTATTTGGTGTTATGCTGGCCATTTAATTTATTTCTCTGAGGAGTCACTTTCAGATGCAGAGCTTCAACTAGCCTGTAGAGATGGAGGGTTACTTGGTAAGGGAATTCTTGTTTGTTAAAAATAACAGTTCGGAGATACTGAAGTTATTATAGGAACATATAAAAGCATTCTTCAGAATTGCATAAATTAGAATGTATCATTTTCCAGGCTCAGTTAGAGAGACCATGAACCTGATGAAGCTGTGAAGGCAGAGTTCCGTACATGGTTCGTATAATACCAAACCTTTGCAGCAGGTTCATATTTTAATTAGGGATGGTAATGTGGGTAAATGAGTTGACCCTACGGTTTCCAACCCATTTGGAATGTCCTAGTGTTAACCCATTCTATTTGGGCTGGGTATGGACCACGGGGTACCCCAAACCCAACCCATTACCCAAACTTAATTTAAAAAATATTAATAAAATAGAAATTAGATAAAAATATAAATAAGGCAAAATATCAAAAATTGACTCGATTGATTTAATTTAATATTCCATAAGATATTTTTAAAATTGTTTTTTTTTCCAAAAAAATTGGTGCAGATAAAGGATTTGATTAACATGGATAACGTTTAATATTTAATTTCTTATATTGAAATTTCAAGTTTTACATTATTAAAATGTTATATGTTACAAATTTAAAAGAAATTTTGATTCTCACATTATAATAAATTTATAATTTTTCAATCAGATAATGGTTGCAATTGTAATTTAAGGATAATATTAATTTTTATAAAAATAATATTATCAAATTATGTTAACCAAGATCGCTCATGTATTGTAGGTTAATGTGTGAATTAAAATTGATTGTATCAAGAAGGTTATCAAAATAGGTTAATGTGTGAATTAACAATTCTGTATAGCTCCTCAAATCTATCCATAAACTTATATTAGGTATTGACAATTTGTAATATACATTGATTTTGTAGTGTCTAATTTGGAATATAATTATGCATTTTTTATTTGGTTGTGAATTGTGAACAGAAGGTATTGCCAGATTTTTTTGCTCGCTCAAAAAGACTAACAAAAAGTAGAATAATGTAACTGCTCTAGAAGAAGAAACTGTTTGTAAACTAATCAATAAAATAAAATAAAGAAATAAAGTTGATGGGGTTAGGTTTTTTTTTTCGTATTATATGGGTTATTAATTGATAAAAGATAAAAGAGAAATTGCTTTCTTTTCTGGAATATGAGCTAAATTATCGAATGCAAACAAATTGTAGCTATTCGTGGACATTCTATATTGTTTTTATTTAACACATTATCTATAAAAAAAAAAAATGAAATAAGAAAGAATGGGAGATATATTGAAGTGTTGTTGAGAAAGGTACGAAAATGGTCGGATAATTGAATTGTATGGCAACTAAAATATGCTTTTTTAGCCGAATCAAGGGGTTTTAGCTGGATTCGGAAAAAAAAAATGTAGGTGTTGTTGGAGAAGATAAAGTCAATTTTTAGTCGAATACCTTGGATTCAACCAAGACAAGTTTTGCTCCAAACTACTAAATCAGTCGAATGGCATGGTTTAAACCATATTCGACCACCTTAGTATCAAAAAGTAGATTGGTTTAATCCAGTCGACATTTGGGTTTTGGCCAAAACTCATCTTCAACCTCTAACCAATTTCCCGTCTGAATCCTCCTAAACATAGATTTTGCCTAAACCACCCCTTTTCAACATGTCTACTAAAATATAAGCCTAATAAACCATAACAACAATAAATCATTTCAAAAATAACTTATTTAACATGTTTCATTGTTTCCTAGATCATATGCAACTTTCTCAAAATATTAGATTTCAAATAACAAAACTTTTATTATAAAAATAATATATCAAGAAATCCGAAAAATAAGTTTCCTCAAGATCATAAATTCAGTCTTCACTTGGGATTTTAGAATGGAAGCATGAGTTTTGAATTAAGGGTTAGGGATTTGGTACTAGGGGCAATCTCGTCCACCAATTTTGTGCTAAATGGAAATGTGTTATTTCTTAACACACTTCCCAAAAAGTGCTAGTTCTCAACTCCCTCCCTCTAATTGTGTCATTTAATATGATTTCTCTTATTAATTTTTGAGGCAACTAAATAGCTCTAAATGCATACAATAGGAAAATCTCCCGGTGCACAGGATTTATTCACTTTTTTCTAAGTCTTGGACTTGAAACTGCTGGAAAAATTCTAGTTAACTTTGATGACTTTAAAATAATTGAATGTGTTAATAGGTGGACGTGGACCATGAACAGATAAAACATAAATTGCTTCATTTCTTGAAGATGAACTGAATACAACATGGATAATTTAATGCAAACAAATCATAATATAATATTGATGCAGCTTTCCATGACCATAAGCATTCTGTACTGTTTACATTAAGATATAATTTTGTTGTATCAATCTTAACATGTATCATTAGGCTGTCCTTTTAGTACATTAACCTTGAGCAATCACAACAAGGTGAATTAAACCATTGGTGCTTTTGACACATTATTTCTACCCATATTCTCAATCATATTCCCCAAATATTGTTTGGCACATTATTTGAGAAATATTAGTATATTTTTTTAATTACTTTAAACCCCTTAAGTTTATTAATTTCATTAAATACTCCTAGAAAAAAGTTTAAAAATTAACAAAAACACCTCTTAAACCCATACTTGCCAGATTCTGACAACTACCGTCGGTGGTAGTCGGAATCTTTCACAACGGCCTACACCATGACCGGAACTGGCCGGTAACTCACCGATCTGGTCTTTCCCGGTCAAATCCACAGTGGATCTGGCCGGAAAAGGCCAGATCTAACCATCAGCGATGGCCTAAGAAATGGCCATCATTGACCGACAACAACGGCTATATCTTTGGCCATCGACGGCCAGATCTGGCCGTATATCTAGCTTTTTCTAGCTATATCCGTGGTGGATCTGGCCGGAAAAGGTCATATCGATGCCCTACTTGCCAGATCCGACTAGTCTGTATCGTAATGCAATTTTTCGACCAGATTCTGATGGTGGTGGCCAGAATTTGGCACTGCGGGTGGTGGGGGTGTTTTTGTCATTTTACAAAAAATTTATGTATTGGGGTGTTTAGTTAAATTAGCAAACCTAGGGGGTCATTTTTTTATAAATTTTTAAATTTTACTTCGTAATACTCCCCTATTCAACTACCCAATATTATTCCTAAAATCTTATCCAAAATAATAAAACAAACGGACCCTATGTTTTCCTTTTCGGGTGGGCAAGGTAACAAGACCCGATTTGGAAATATCGATGTCAAATTCTTTAGAAATTGAACCCATGTAATTTCTAATTGCCGAAGCTCAAGAATCCTATCCACATGAATACTAATGTGAATTTTGGCTTTGAAAACTCATGTCATTATTTATAACACAACTTCTTCTTGTTACTTCTCAAACATCTCGAAGGATACTTTGTGCGTGATATAGAAATCGGATATATTTAGATTTAGATCATGTAACGACATTATATCCCTACTTAGAATATTACTTTATTATGTTAATTCTCTGTATATACACACGATACTTTCAAATTTTATATCATACGATAATATACATAGTCAAGTCTCTCATGTTACAGATTGTCAAGCCATTGCTTTTCATGGAAAAAGGTTGAGATAGCTTATCATGAAGCATGCTCTAGAAATATGGGCTAGAATGTTTAATTACTCAAAACATATACGTGTCCTGCTTGAAATTTTTTACAATATGATCTACCCTTGTTTTTTGTTGTATATAAATTAGATTCAAAAAATATTTTTATTGAAAATTATGTTAACCAGGATCATTCATGTATAGTAGGTTAATGTGTGAATTAACAATTTTGTATAGCTCCTCAAATCTGTCCATAAACTTATATTAGGTATTGGCAATTTGTAATTTATAATTGATTTTGTGGTGTTTAGTTTGGAATATAATTATTATAATTATGCATCTTTTATTTGGTTGCAAAGTGTGAACGGGGGGCATACCAAAAGAGCCCTGGCCAGCCAGCTTTTTTTGCTTGCTCAAAAAGACAACAAAAAGTAGAATAATGTAACAACTTTGGAAGAAGAAACTATTTGTAAGCTAATCAATAATTAAAAAAAAAAAAAAAAAAAAAAAAAAAAAAAAGGGTTGAAGTGGTTACATTTTCTTTCGTATTATATAGGGATAAGCACAAGCCAGGGACCTGTCATTGGGCTTGGCCTGAAGGCTCAATGTTCCCACAATTATATTATTATAATCACATTTGAATTTGATCAATTAATAATATGAAAAAATTAATTATTAAAGTGATAATTTCTTGGCAAATGTGTTTTCTTTTACATTAGTAAATTACTAAATTATATCTTATTACGTAATATAATTTATTGTGTCTCTTCATCTTTATAATACAATATATGAATTTTTTGAATATCACATAAAGTTCCTCTCCCTTCTTCTAATTAATTAGTAAATTTAATTTAGAACGATTTTAAATGTCGATTTAAGTAATTAATTTGTTCTTATATAATTTATGGCTTCATTGATTGATTTTCAACTATTTAAATTAATATAGGATTAAACGGTTAAACCTGAGTAAAATTTTTAAGTAGGGCTATTAATAACAATCAGATACAATTAGATTCTAATTAAAAAGAGAATATATAAATTGCATCAAAATAACATAATATCATGTCACACACACACACACATATATATATGTGTGTGTGTGTGTGTGTGTGTGTTCAAGCTTCAAACATCTAAAGCAGCTTTCATGATCATGATCAATTACTCCAGGACTCATAATAAGTTTATATTTCGTGAATGCAGGTTAGGAATCTAGATGGTTTTCAGAGAAAAGTAACAACTTATCACGGAGCCACTTGAATGTGACCATTTAGGTTAGATTCATATTTTGACTTTTATACTCTTACCGTGCTGTTATTCGCAGGTAAGAGTGCATAAAAGCACACATTGAAGAAGTATGCGGACTGAAATTGATATGAATCCATTCAACTCAATTCATATATCACCTCATTTCAACCAATTTCAACTCAACCTAAGCTAGGATTCACTTGCAACACCCTAACACAAATCCAATCAACACTCTACAAGCACACACAACCTTTATGACAACTTAGAGCAACACTTTATATCTATTCTCAATTGATACAAACTCTACTTGAATACACAACACATATGAGATCATAAACAAGGCAAGTCAAACCCGGAATTGAGATGAGTGGTAACCAAATAGAAAAATAACTTACAAGATAGATGACCAAGGATCATTCAAGCCTAAAAGAACTCCACCAGCTTGAAAAATCAATCCACCACCAAGCTTGGCCGAAACTTGGGTAAAGGAATTCAGAGAGAAAACAATTATCCAAGGAAAACACTATTTATGCAATATTCATTGTCTAATTCATATTATGAAATGATGACCTTTAAATAGGTTTTACA